TTCATCACATAAAATATTTTTTTTCATAAAATAATGAACATGTGATATGATACTAGATGTAACAAAAATTTTGTAGCATTAGTGTGCATGAGAAACTAAAAAGAAAAGCATTTTTGGCTTTTAAAACAACCAAAACAATACTCTTATGTGAGTGACAATCAGTTTTTGTTTTGGCACTATAAGAGGACATCTCTATCTCATTTGTGACAAATTTGGAGAGAAGAATTCAATTCGTTAGAAGCCAAAAAGCTCTCATATTCTCTTAAGCCTATATTTTTTAGTCTCTTTATTCTTTAACTTGAAATTTACATTTGGAGTAGATTCTTTAAGGTAATCTTTAGAAAACTCGTTGGGCCTTTAAACATTCATCTGTTTGTATTTAAATAAATTTGAATATGAAAACTCAAATATTTCAAGCAAAAACTCTTTATTTATTTTTTGATCCCTAATTTTTCAGTGTCGCTGTTCTTCATTTTGAAATCTACTCTTAGAAATAGATAACTTGAGATAGACTTATATATGTTCTTTGGCTTTTTTTTTTTTTTTGTTATTATTCATCTAGTTGGGTTTAAACAAACTTTTGAAAGATTTAAGAGCCAAAGCTTGACTTAATCTTTTTTTTTTAAAAATTTCATTCTCTTTGAGCTTCAACTTTAATATCTATAGTTGGTTAGAGCATATTTGAGACTTTATTATTTCATGTACTTAAAGTTTGAAAAGTACTTATTAGAATAATTCTTTTGAGTTAAGCTCTTCAAAAATAAATATTTTGACCAAAATCTTGAAAAATTATTTTAGAGATTTCTTTGAGCTTCATAATGTAAATCTCCTTTTTGTAAGAAAAACTTGTAATATTTCCTTCTATTCTTTTGGGTTTTGTATGAAGAATGTCAGAAAACCTATTGGGAATTGAGTGTTTGAGAGAAATACTTGTAACATGAAGGTAGATATCTTAAATAAGAATGTCATTTGTAAGATATATGGGAAACTCTTAAAAATTGAGTGTTTGAGATAAACACTTGTCAGGTGAAGCTAAACACCTTAAATAAACATTTGATTTGTAAGAATGGTGTTAAAAACCTCTTGAGAATTGAGTGTTTGAGAGAAACACTTATTAGGTGAAGCTAGACATCTTAAATAAACATCTGATTTCTAAGAAAAAGTGTAAAAAACATCTTGAGAATGGAGTGTCTGAGAGAAACACTTGAACGGTGATACTTAGCACCTTAAATAAACATTTGGTTTGCAAGAAAATATGTTAAAAATCTCTTGAGAATTGAATATTTGAGAGAAATATTTGATTAGTGAAACTTGACACCTTAAGCAAGGGTTTAATTTGCAATAAGAAGTGTAGAAAACTTATCGATAATTAAGTATTTGTGTAACACCCAAAACTTTTTATTTTATTATTATTAGAATTTTATTTGATTTTATTTTATTTTAATAATTAATTTATAAGGTTTTAATTTAATTTAATTTAATAGAAATAAAAATAATAATAATGATAAAATGAGGTAAAATTATTTTTGAGATTTAATTAAAAATGATTTTGGGAAAAAGGGGTGAAAATTTAGATTTTGGGGATATTTTTGAAAAGAAAATCAAAAATCGGGGGTTAAAACGTAATTTTAAAAAATTGCGCCACATCAACAGCCCCAGCCAACCAGGACATGCCCCGTGGCAGGGACGCTGACGCAGGAAGCCATGCGGGACGGAGACACGTGGGCGATTCGCGTGCGCGCGATCGGACAGCCCAGATCCATTCCCGCGCGCACGGACGACCCAGATCAAAAGCGTGCATGGACGGCCCAGATCTCACGCGTGTGGACGGCCCAGATTGAATCACGCACTGATGGCCTAGATCGCATCGTGATGGACGGTCCAGATTTATTTCTAATTTAATCGCGATCAGACGGTCCACATTAAATCGTGATGGATGACTCAGATTAAAAGGGAAAAGTTATAAATAACCTCATCCACACCCAAACCTAAACCCTAACCACCAGAGCCATCACCGGAGAAGACGACCCAGCCACCGGAGGAATCGGCTGCCGCCACCCACCGCCGCACCGGAGGATTTTTCGGCCGCCAAACAAGGTAAAATTTCTCCCATTGGCTCGGTTTTCGATGCTGAATCCATCTGTGGCCAAATCAGAGCCAAACCACCTGCCAATTGGCCGGAAAACACTACCGAAGCCCAGCGGCACCGCCGCAGATTTTCTCAGTTTTTGCCTCCGATGAGACCCTTTCCGATTCCCGTTCGATGTAATTTTTACACAATTGTGACCACCGTTCTTTTCTCTACAAGTTAACCAGAGCAAAACACCAAATTGTAATTCGCGCCAGAGGAGCCGCCGCACCCGAGAGCTCTGCCGTTGGTAAGTCTCAGTTTTCTGTAATTTTTTTGGCCCACTGAGGGCCCTGGGGGTGTTTTATCACAGGAACCAGTGCAAGTTTGGCCGAATTCGGCCGAAAACGGCCAACCCGAGGCGGATCGCCGCCGTGGGCGGCGGCGCCATCGCTGGAGCATGGAGGAGCCGCCATGCCGGAATTTCAAAATTGGCCGAATAGGCCCTGGGTCTGATTTGGGATTTTTTGGGGACATGTGCAGGTACCGAAAGTGTGTTTCAGTTTCTGGAGAAAAATTCAGAGAATCTAGGAACTACCCGTAGGCTCAGTGAGAACCCGATTTCAGACTCCGAAACAAGTAAGGATCTCTCACCCTATTTTCTATCACGGCATTAAAGCTTAATAAATGATAAAACAGTATTTTATAAATTAATAGATATGTATAATTAACTAAGATTGCTAATGGGGCCAGAATCTGATGTATTTGTCGGTCTGTTCCTGTTTAATGTATTTTATAGTCTAAATGCAGTATAATATTTGATTGTTTATTCTGTGGTTACGTATGCATGAATCACTGTTTAATCTATTATGCTTTGAATTATTATGAACCCGATGTTGTGTTGCCTTATTTGGTGTGCGTTACTGGTTTACGTATTCATGTTGATTGGGTAATTGAGACTAAGAAAAATGAAAAGGGTATGTGAATTTATAAATGGATAAGTCGACAGCCTCACTAGATATCTTGGGAGATGATGGATGGACTGGGTCCATAGGGAACCCTACCGGGAACGTGGTCTCTCATATCGGACGGAGTATGGAGATTTTAAATGTTTTGGTGCTCATACCGGACGGAGTATGGGGACGGCCCGCTTCACCCTCATACCGGACGGGGTATTGAGGTTTATGATTTTGGCGCTCATACCG